GTACAGGGCATTTTCTGATTATAAAACAAATGAGTTGTTGTCTGGAGAAAAGAGGATAAAAACAGAACACAAGACAAAATTTAAATTGTTTCTCTGTCAAGTTGCTTTTGATGTTCTGTATGTTCAACAAATCTTGTCTCAACAAAATAAAGATCATGTTTAAAGAAATACATATTTTAGTCAAAAGAGGCACTATGTTGGTTTTTAAAATCCATTTTTGTGTGAAATTGTGTAAAAACACTGCAGGTTCTTAGAAAGTTGGTGTGCATTGTTTAGAAATTTGTCGCTGTGGTTACAAAATGTTTAATGAGTGGAGTTAACATTTTACAAATTTTTTTATAGTTTTAAACATAATTTGTTCAACACCCAACTGCAGTTCAATACACAGTATATATATAAAAAAGTTCCCTAAAAACCTCTAAAAGAAGAATATCTATTTGGAGCAACTTAATTTTTACAATAGTTTTAAACTTAAATCCTGTGTTCATGATTATGGTAATTAAGTACATAACACAAAAAATACTTTTAAATAAGGTAAAAATGTTGTTGGAGAAACTTAATTTTATGAGTAATCAACTTAAACACTTGTGTCTAAGCTACAACTCATTAAGTAAGTGGTAATAGAAATTGCCTTTAGTTGTGGAGGAAAAGCTAATTCCCCTAACTCAAAATAGTTTGTTTGTTCAATATAATTTCAAAAGAAGTTTTCATGACTCAAAATTATTAATCATTATTATAATTATTACAATAACGATTATTAATTATTAACTTAATCATTAATGCAAACTGTTACGTTATTTTATTTATTTTGTCGAGACTAAACATTTATTTTTTAGAGTGTACTAATGCCTTATTTCCCCTTGTATCTCACTTGCTTTCTAAGTTTGTTGCTAACACAGAAAAACAAGGTGATAATCAGGAAGATACAACATAAAACAAGAAAAAGCAGTAAGTGCATGGGTTATACTTCATGATCAGACAGCTTGTTTTGCTCTTTCCACTGCAAGTTAGATAATAGTGGTTTTTAAAATCATGACACTCTGGACTAAACTGATAAGGAATACTTATCTCGGTTGTTGTTCAAGGGAAACAATGCAGCAGGAATCATCCCCTGTTTGAGGATTTGAGACCCCAACACCCCCCTCATCAGTGTCACTTTGAGTCGTATTTTAGATAATCTGATTTGAAAAAAGATCCACAGAGGGGACCGTCTTCATACCGAAATAAACATACAGTGCTGCGCTGACACCGCGTGAGTCTTTCACACACAGTGGTGGCAGAAGCTGTATTTTTGAGGCTAATCTATTTTTAATCCTCCCCCCAACAAAACCGCTTTAAGACTTGTCACCCGCCTTCCACAGCTGTCCTTTCAATAAGGCTAATGTCAGTGGCATCAACAAATCCTTGCCATGCTGTTTCCCTCTAAAGTGGATGACAGCTTGAGTTTACCGGAGCACAGCGCATATGCTGTGAAACTTTTGGGAGCCGAGATGTGTCTTTGTGTACATATGTTATCCAGAGATGAAAGATTTGCCAGTATGTCTATTTAAAGAGGTATATAGTAAGTGTATTTTGACAAGGGCTATCGGCTGGAAAGATGAAGCTAATAAGAGACTCTGCATCACGCTGGAAATTATAGGTAATTAAATCGAGCTTTTGACAGGACTTTAGAAGGGAACATTTTCAAATGTCACACTGAAAAGAATTAGTGGGTTATTAGTGGGGCTGCTGCCGTCTTAGAGAGCATATGAACTATTTGGTGTAATAGGCCTTACAACGCCTCCTGCTGTGTTTAAATCACGTCTAGAGAATCTGCTTTTCAACAAGATAAAGGTAAATTACTTACTGACTGACTTATAATGTACAAGTCATCATTCTTCAATTATAGATCCACATGATTCCTATTAGGTCTCACGTAACACTCCCCAAGCCTGCACCAAATATGTGATGGCAGTAAATGTGTGCTTCACCTCCCTACGTTTCAAGCCATAAAAGCTCTCTCACAGGCCCCTTTACGCTTTGCAGCAGACTCCTGGCCCATAAATCTTGTGCTGTTCCTCCCCTTCATTCTTGATGTTAACTATCCATGATGCTCTAATCACTTTCCTCATCTCCTTTACCACATTTTCCCCTTGAGGAGCATTTATTTACATAATCAGATATCATTCCAGCTGCCATTTATCCTTCTGAAGATTAGAGATATTGGATTTGTTTTCTTATGCTGTTTGATACTATCTTTACTTAGGAAAGTTGTGGACCTACAACCACAGAGACAAATTAAGCATATACCACGGTCCAGGCGTTAAAGCGAGACTATGTAACTTTTGGAAGAAGAACACAATCTTCCTCTTATAAATGAAAAGTTGCAAAATGTACTAATGTTGTAAAAGCAGTAAAATCCACCTTTGCTCAAATCAATACGCTCATGGTTTTACTGCTACAGCCTTAGTTGTTCTGGTATGACCAGTAGCTTAAGGTGGCTATAACAGTAGCTAAATGTTAGCAAACTTTAGGTATTGCACATTGTTGTGCATTATACAGTCAGTTTTCTGACTTTATAGCTCTGTCTTCAACAATTTTGGACCACAAAGCATTACCTAGTAACACATTATAGTAATGTGACGTACAGTCTTTTTATCTGTATTTAGTAAAGGGATTACATTTAAAATCAATATTTACATTACAGTTACCTTAACCTCAACAATCTGGGGATCAGTTTGTTTGCTATTTTACTATTTTATTGAGGGTTGATTTCAGTTTGGCCTCTCTGCGGTCAGCTACTGCTAGTCCAGTGGATGGTCCAAAAAGGGGGAAATGCGACTCCAACTGTGGAGACTCCACAGTTGTCGTTTATGTTGTGTGCTAACGTTAGCCCCTGGTGAGCCTACTTTTAGAAATGACCTGATTTCAGATGTTCGGAGACAGAGGGTGTGTGGACAGCAGCTTGACTGTGAGGAACTGCAGCGGTCACTGAAGTAAGCTGGCTGTTGGTGGTCAGTAAATCTCTAAAACGTAGACTGGCTGCTTCTACCACCACAATGTCTTGTTTTATATTTATAAAGATGTTCAATACATGCGCCATATGGATACAGAGGATTTGGAGTTCTTCAAAGGCACCTATGAGGGAACAAACTTAAATTTAGTGATTTTAACACTCTGTTAAATTCAAGGGGTGTTAAAAAGTGGTGGGGACATACGCACTCAGACTAGGGGCATTAAGAGACACTTAGCTTGCAAGATATCCCGATTTGCGATATTAGTTTCACGAGAATGAGATGAAAATATTGTTAAACAATGTTTTAAAGATATCCTCAATGCTGAGATGTATGCATAGAGCAGTCAGGGGGCACTTCTCCCAGGAAATTTTGATCATTAAATACTTAATTTCCTGCATTCTGGTGAACGTTTCTGTACCAATTTATGGTGGAAATGTTTTTATTTACGTAAAAGGAAACACAAAATTCAGACAGCACGTGACATATAGAAATATATAAATATAATAGAATCTAAGTCAGTACAGCTCTCAGGCGTTCTGTGCTGCTTTCAGATCTGTTTCTCCTCAACTTTTGCTGAGGCAACACATATGTAGGCATGATTTAGTCTTCCTCCTCTTTTGTCAGGTTCAAAGGGAAAGAACGGATTGGTGCTGCACGTTTTTGGGTCATTTTATAATCAGCAGCTTGTTTTTTGGACAATGCACTTTTGTTTCTTCTATATTTAAATTGCATTGCATGTTTTCTTAATGTGCAAATAAACCTTTCTAAAAGCGTTTTCATTTGTTATTTAACTGAAAGCTATATTTCAAAACGTTTTTAAACAAATTATGCTTTAAAAAAGTGATGGGGACAAAATCAGCCATTCCAGAAAGTGGTGGGGACATGTCCCCAGCGTCCCCAGTGTAAATGAAACCTATGGTTAAATTTAACTGGCAGTGGCACAAAAGTATTATATCATTTCCTGTTAGATATGTTTTTTTGTACTGCACATGACGCTATAAAGGTTAGTACATAGTAGGCAATATACTGTTAAACACTATACCATACTAAATTAGTATGTAGAATTCAGTTGGACACAGTTAATGACTCATCTTCATTTGAGCTAATTGTGACAGTTGCTTAGCATTTTAGCTTTTGCTAAATTGTTGCTAATTGACACTTGCCACAGTGGTAGCTGTTTTGCAAAAGTTACTTTGTCTCACTTTAAAAGTCAGGCTATGATAATTGTGTGCCAAACTTTGACATACTGGAATATGTTGGAAGACAACAGTGAAAAGGGGAACTTTTATAAGGTTTTTAGAGAACAAAAAGAGAACTCTCCCAGACAACATGCAATGTTTGTAGCCCAAGCACTATTAAAGACCATCAGCTAAGCTGTGGCAGCTCTGTCACCCCTGTTGAGAGGCAAGCGCCTGTCCTTACTGGCAGACTGCTTTTGAATTATTTACCGCACACACCACCGGTTATGGCTGGATTTTTACAACACCACAGATCGGAGTGCTCCAAGCTTACTCAGGCACAAAGCACTGCACATAAAAAAAGAGCAGCACAAAGAGGTGGCGACACAGGGAGGCGCCGGCTGTGAGCAAATAGTTGCTTTACTTAAGAGCACTCACTGAGTGTCTGAGTCTGACAATGTAGTGCATTTCATCGTCTTAACATAAATGCAATACTATGTTGCGAATCATCTGTGCTCTCAACATTCAGTCTTTTTATGATCAAGAACAAAGAGATCATGATCATGTGTTATGTTGTCAAATCAACACATTTGATCTACTAATTCATATCAACTCTAGGATGCCTTTAAGAGCCCAGCTATATTGCTTCTACCCACACACGCTCTGTGACTTGTTGTGTGTAACAGTAGTTTGTAATAAGGATGATGATTCAAGCAGACCACAAAATGAGTTTAACAATAGTGGGAAAGAAAAAAATGCAGGACGGGAAGTACCATTTGATTTAAACTACCCTACGAACACTGAAAGGAAGAGACAAGTCTTGTACCTGCGAAAGCCACCTGTCAGTGCTAGTATGGCGTCCGGTGTGATCACATGGACAGCTTCGTCAATAATGTTCTTCAGGGCTCGGGCCTCTGCTTTGCTGACAGCCCTTGAGATGTCTCCATAATGCAGAAAACCTGCAGGGAAAAGACCATGTGGTTATTAGTCTGGGAGCCAGCCATCAATCATAGCCATTTGCCCTGGGGAAGTGGAGAGTCAGGGTGAATTAAAAGTAAGGTAAAATGTGATATGTTCTGCTGGCTGATAGAAGGCGACCGTCAGCGCATGCCTGCTGCAGAAACAAGACGATTACAGCCACCGTAGATACTGAGCTAAATTATGATTGATGGATAGATGAGTATCTTGTTGATTTCACGCATCTCACTTTGTTTGCTGTTTTTTTCTTTTTTCTGTGCTACATCAAAAGCATCAATTCTCTTTTACTTATCTCAAACCAGGCAGCATTACACCTCCAATTAATTGTAAAATATTAAATAATATTTCTGCCCGTACTGCAATACAGAAAATGGCATAATTCATGTTTCAAGATTTACGAAATACAGTGGAGAGATCAGGGTTCAAACACATTTTCCATGTCAAAAGCTCACATTATTTCTCTGCACGAAGCAGAGACTGCAGTGTTCCGAATGATGGATTATGACCAGTTTGATGAAGATGTCTGTCAGCATAATACATTATCGGATGGAGTTTCAAACTGAATGGGAACCTGCGAGCCGTGTGATGTAATGTTTTGAATTACCACCTCATGCAGTGTTACAGTATGTGCACCCGGCAACATCCTGGGCAGCAGAAGAAGCAGAGAAATGAGGCAGACAAATGAAAAGGTGCATATCAGTATTTCCCTCTGAGACATTTAACCACGTACATTTAAATGCTCTGTGGGATTTCTATCACTGACAACAATTGAGGCTGATATCTACATGTTTGGGTTGGTTGGGTTGCTGTATTCCTGTTCACTCAGCTGTTTCTATAAGATTTGAGTATTTATCACCTCAGAGAATAATCACACAGGAAATATAATCTATAACTTCTTGTACTGCACCTCCTTCAGTCTCCATCGTGTTTTTTTCTTGAACCAAATCATTATGTGTTTGTTTTTAGCCACGCTGCTGACGTCACTCGCAGCATGGCAATGTCAGCCTGACGGCCAGTCCACCACCAGACTGAAATATCTTGACAACTATTCAGTTGACTGCCATAACTTTTTGTGGCAATCTATCCAATAGTTGTAGAGATAATGCTGTCTGGACCTAAGTTGTGAGCCAGTCGACAGACTGACATTGGCATACCTAGAGCAATGCTAGCATGGCTAAAAATATAGACTGTATTGCCTCCATCCCTCCAGCTAAGTTTATACGTCTTTGCTTATCCAAATCTAGAAACAATATCAGAGAATCTCATAAGTGACTCAGCACGATGACCTTTTCTGCTTACACCATCCTCACACAAACTATGTAACACATTTCTGCATAAACCCTTCTGATGGGCTGCCACTAGCAAAGATGAAGATCAAAAACTGCAAAAGATCAAAAGCTAATTTTGGACCTCAACTTTTATCTAATAGTTCAATAGTTCATCCAAAATCAATCTGTAATTAATCTAAATATTATTATTACAAAAGCAATGAAGGATGATTCCCCATAGAAATACTATGATCCAAAATCTTCCTTTGCAAATACCACTAACGTGTGAAATAAATCATAGTTCTCCCACTGTAAGTCAGCGACCTCTCATTGTCTTTGCCTTGATGGCCGTCTCTGCCCAGCTGATTGATGAGAGCTCACGGGAATTTCACAGCGAGCTTCCCCCTTTGCAGTCACTAGTCACTGATTTTTATTAAAAATACCCCTGCTGCCTTTTCCATCGTGTTTTCACTGTAAACTCCCTGCTCGTCACATCTCATCTCACTTTAGAGAAAACACATTACAGACCAAGGCTAACATAAGGAGCCTCCTATGGGACCAAAAAGTACAAAAAATCCCAAATGACATGCGGGCCCCCCTGGAGAAATTTAACGATTAGGTCTTTGAGTCTTCCTTAGAAGCAAACTCGAGATCACATTTTCAGTATATAATTTGTGGAGTCTGTGAGATGTTGATGTACCACTTTGTTGCATCCGGTTTAGATGAATGCTGGGGTCTGCCAGTATGTCGCTGAATGAGCGCAGCCCTCTGCGGTACCACTTCTCAGACGTCTTAGGTCCAACCCCAAACACACTTGTGAACAGCTGGCAGGAAACGAGGTAAGAACGTAATCAAAAAGACATGCTCTGAAATGACAGGCTCTTCTCAGAAGGGGTTAGCATTCAACATTTTGAAGAGCTCTATGTCCTTAAGAGACAGCACATGCAAATCACTTTCACAGCAATTTCTAAAGCAGTAAAATGGAGAACGTAAATGAAGAATGGAGTTGTTTTTCATCTACTGACCTTTAGTGTTTGATACCTTTCATCAGAGAGTATTTTCTCGACTTCAAACGAGCGGCCATATTGAAGGATCTCCTGCAAAAGATAAAAGTAGAGGATATTATTAAGGCAAACACAGTTAGTGTCAGCCTCGGCATGTTGTGCTCTGGTTTCTGTTCCATCAGCAATTAATAAATGGCCTCAAATTGCCGCTCATTTGAAAAAATTTTTCCACTTAAATCAGGTGCTCCTCGTGTCCTCATTTCCATTTCTTTTCAAGAAATAACGACTTTGTTGTTGTGAAACCTGGGATTAATACCGGTTTTATGGCATTCATAAAAAGCCCAAGGTAATGTTTTCCCCAACTTCCATTGTTTGCTGTGAAACAACTTTGTTCCGCGTTTAATTGTCTGCCTCTCCGAGCAGAGCACCGCTAATTTGCTGGTCACATTTTAACTGTCTTCATTATGTGAAGACATAAAATCAGGCAGCATTTATTTAATTAATATCAGCCATCTTCCCTGGGGAAATGTTATAAGTTGATAGTGTTGAAAAGCCTGTATATTTGTGTGCATTTTAAGCTTGTGCATGAAGGGATGACATCTAGTATCAATGAACCAGTGAACCTAAGATCCAGACTGTGTGTACAGTGCAGTTTAAAGCAGCCTTCACTGCTCAATGATGCATCCACCCGTCCACCTCTGTTTTTTAACCCTCAAGCTAAGGCCAACCTCAAACGCAAGGATAATGCTTCCACACACTGCCTGCTCCGGGGAAGACACACTTCTTCTCCACAGTGTCTCTTATACACACAGAAAACACATACTGACTATTCATCCCCAACTCTGCCTCAGTGCTCCCAGACTTTCATGTCAGTAGGTTTATATCTTTTCCCCACTTTGGATGTTCAGTCAGCAGCGAGCGGTTCAGTCGCTGCTGACAGAGTGTCACTCCGATGTTCACAGGCACATCAAGCGTTTTGTTTTTACTCTGTTTGGTTTCACTTTGTTTTTCGTGTCATGTCATTTTCTTTGGTTGAGCCGCGATCTGTTTTTAAAGAGACAACCTAGTGAAAAGAAAACTCACTCGCTGGGTGTACATCTGAATCATGTAAGAACAACAGGGAGAGGTCATTCACAGGCAGTCTAATTTGGTCTCCTGGGATATTTGTGTTATTTTCTTTAATGAATCTGCCTCAGTGCTGACAGATTTGACAGATTTTGAAACTTGCTCTGAGACCCGCCGTGTGTATGTTAGGTTTAATGTGTCAGAGAGTTGGACCGCGGAGCTCACCTTGTTCTCCTACAGGGACTTGGCGTTTTCTCCAAGAAAACATTTCTTGACACTTTCCCTGACAACTCGCCATGATTTCTGCCCTGAGCACGACTGTAGGTGAGAGAATGATTGCCAAGTGACCCAATAAGATTTTTTTTTTTTTTTCTCCCAAAGACGGGTGATGCCTGTCAGTGTGTGTGCTCATGTGTGTGGCAAGTTTTGTTAGCGTGTCTGTCTGGGACTTGAAATTTCAAAACTATTTTTGATATCTTTTTGAAAGATTGAACTCAACATTGAATTTTTTTTTAACCTTCAATAACACACAGCAAATGTGTTCTGCAAGATTAAATTCCACTTCGGTGTCAACTCCAGAGAGCATATTTGTGCAGATTGGTATTGCTAGAAGAAGAAAGACTCAGCTACATTCTTCTTAACAGTGCAACAAAACAATCTGCACAAAATTTGAAGGAATACTCCGCCAAAAAGTATAAAATACTCATTCCATGATGTGAAGAAAAGTTTGTACCTTGCTCCCTCATAGAAGCTTTAATTCTCCTGTGCATAATGACGGTGATGATCTTTTAACCACTGATGATTGGGTTGAATGATAATGTCTAGATGTACTCCAGATTTTATGTTAGGCTGCCACTTGATGTATTTTGTTTCAGTGTATGATTTTAACATTTATTTCACATTATTATATATTTTATGACTTTTATTATGTTTTTATGTATGTTGTGTCTGTGTATATTCTATAGTTCTATGGTTCACCTGGCTCCAAATTTCCCCTCTGAGACATTAAAGTTCTAAGTTGCAGTCAGCTTGGATCAGTTAGAGTGGATTCTAATGGCTACTCAGAGTCAAACCATAAAAATACATATGGTCAGTTTGTTCTAAACACCCATAGTTATCCCCATCACAGCTAAATGCACTACTTCTCCTCCTTATGGCTCTAATGTCTTTTGGATGTTTTCCATAAAAACACCAAAATCGTCTCTCAAGATTTTATGACTTACCTTGTCTGTTGCACCTGAGCCCACTGGCTCTGAATGTGGATGATGTCTTTAAAAACAAGTCGAAAATATATTGTTTATTTTATTTTATGTTCACTAATTTCCTAATTTTTCCTGGGCACTGTAGTTTCAAACAAACATTCCTCCTACGGCAGGAAATAGTGCATTTGTTGGGGACTATTTTAATCTTAATACACATTTTGTGTATTGTATGTAATGTATGAGATGTGTTGAATGTTTTGGAGCAAGTCTTTAACTTGTAAAAGTAGCTTAAAGTGAAAGAAGGTATGTTGATTTATGTTGTTCATTGAATTAATAATATTTGTAAGGTGTAACTTTTAGTTGATTTAATGGCATTATGTGGTGGAACCAGTACAGATGTTGGAAAGATGTACTTGAACAAACAATAGAGTTCATTTGGTTTAAAGTGCGTGGTGAAACTGTCAATGAGTTAAAAGGGAAAAAATGCCCCTAATAAAAGAAAACAAAAGTTTGCTGTCCTATCCATTTAGTATGGCTGCCCACATTAAACACTGACTCATGACAACACTACTCTTATTACATAATACAGATGGATTGGCTGTCAGCTGGAGTCTGAGTGGACTCTGCATGCTGACTCTGGGCCTTACCTCTATGACTGCCTTAGTGTGTTCCCCCAGGCAGGGCAGATCCTGAGTGGCCCCCAGGCACTGCACTGCCCAGGGCAGACTCTTCAGAACAGACGCAGCTCTCCTGAAGGCCAGGCATGGGCCCTCAATCTCGTTGAATTCATAACTCTCTGCCAGCACTTCAAAAGCATCCTACATGGAGAGGTAGGCAAGGACAGGTGAAGGGAGAAAGAAGAATAATATAGAAGATAAGATATCGTTCCGTCTGTAAGATATTGTATAATAAGTATTATACAGCAGGCTTATTTCTTTAAAGTGTTAAAACAAAGGAAAGACAGAAAACTCAGGGCCGAAAGCGCAACCAAGCAAAGATGTGTCAGGTGTGCATTCACATGTGAGATGCACTGACCCGTACAGGAAACCAGACAGTGAACACAACTCCTTCCAGTTCCTTCCTCCTGCCTTTATCACTTCTCGCTGCCCCTGTCACCGTCCCTTTTACTGTACAGTAGGACGTGCCGCATGTTGGTTTTCTTCTGGATGACCGAACAGAGACATTAGAGGCTGACGAACACCAGACAGGAACCTGTCATTTTCCACTTGTTCACAATGGGGCTTCCCGGGGGGGCAACAATGGACTTTCACTTTTTAAAGGCAACATGTTCAAACACTCAAATAGGCTGCAGTCAGGTTTATGGAATGAATGAATCTAGAGAGCAAATATGGCGCACACAACTTTGCCAACTCCACACAATCCTGACCCTACAGCCCCCCGCAGCTCTATGGAGCATCTTAGCGTCTCTCAACTCGTTGAGTTAGTTTTGCAGCCCATACCTTTACAGTTTTGATTGATTTCTCAACAGCATTGTTTCCAGACACAGCTGTTTCCAGCGAAAACATTTCTAAAATCCCAGTGTGCGCTCCCTGATTAGCAACCAAGAGCCAGGATTTGATGGAGACAAACAGAACTGCAAGGGGAATGTTTGACTTACATGTGTCAAGTCTTCAGAAACATGACTCTAAGTGAATGCTAATAGGCCTTTTCACGGAAGACAGTAGCATAAACCGTGGCTCTGCTCTATTTAAGTGTCCCAATTAGCCATGACAGTGTGACAGTGAGCAAGCCTCCACAAAACCATTCAGGTGTTATTACTTTTAATATTTACACCTTTGCTCTTCTTACTACCTTTGCTGTGAAAAAGGGCTCTGTGTCTGTGAAGTGTAAAGAGATGTAACTGTTGGCTAAATAAGGCTTTATAAGGTGTTCATTTAATTTCATCAGTCCTATAGCCTATTCCCACTGTCCCAAAGTGGGGAAAAAATCTGTTAATGCAGGTTTAAATAAGTTAACATTGTGTGAATCTGTCTTAAAATAATAATAGTAGTGCTGAAAAGTGCTGAATTTTGGAGAATACTTGGATGGATTTATCGCAAGGATTACTTGTTCAAATGTTCAGGTGAGTCACACGCATGACCACTGAGTTAAGGACATTTATTATGATTTTAAGATTGTGTGGATATTTAACTGCAATATTTTTTACAGTGCATCATTATGGCATTTAAATAATAGATGCAGATTTTATAGATTTTTATAGATTTTCTGGGTTAATGTCATGCTAGTGGCTATGTGAGGCTGTACTTAAGCATGCTTTGCAACATGCTCACAGTGATGACATTGCTGGTGATTAACATGTATAATGTTAACCATTTCCACCATTGTAGTCTTGCATGTTAGTGCGCTATCAATAATGATAATAAGTACAGTAGTTGCAGGTATTTGGTCATGAACCAAAGCATTGGGTAAATTTAAATTTTTGACCGAATGGTCTGTACAAAATGTAATGGCAAACCACCAAGTAGTCCTCAACTGACATTTCCATGCTGCAAGCATAGCCAAAAAATGTTTTGCAACAAATTCGAATGGCTGAAAATCTGTGTGGGTGGAAATTACTGTGTTTAGATATGTGTCTGACCAAAGATTCCAGTGGGGAAAACTACTTCAGTTTCTACACCTCATAGTTCAGGATCGAGTTATGAGTGAATATTTTTTACATTAAACATTTAATCAATGGATGTTATTGCACTTAGAGAGAATAAATGAGAAAAACACTAAAAAGAAAAAACTTCACTGTCACACTTTCTGATATTGGCATGCAGCTGAACATCTGGCACAGTGTTGAGCTAGCTGTTGCAGAACCAAGTGGAAGAAAACATGTCACCACAGGAGAGCTAGATCACCAGTATAGCCATTCATTAGCTAAACACTTAATATTTCTATGTAGGCTATGACAAAACATTTCAAATGAAATTGCTGTCTGAATGTCTCTGAGATGGAGCAGGTTGGTGGAGTGGGGAATAAAGAGCTGCAGGCGGGTGTTGTGCCTGGAACAATATGAGAACAACCATTATTTTTATTAGACAACACGTTCCTGAAAAATCAGGCTCCTTTAATTGAAGCAAGAAGGTGTAGTTCTCATTAGTAGTAGTTCTAATAAAATGCAAGTAGTTCTTCCTACTCAGCCACCAGCTTAAAAACTCTCAAAAAAGACATTAACAAAAAATGGTCAGATTGTGAACATTTAATCTAACTTCTTAGAAAGGATTGGTGTAGCACATCTAAATTTTAATGGAAAAGTGATTCATTACAATTATCACGTTTCACTCATTTATAGAAGCGCATAACACAAAATGCTAATGTGTCGCCGCATGAAAATAAATCCTCAGAGTTCTATTTGCCAAAACCCCTACGCATTTTTGTGTTATGTGCTTCTTTAAATGAGGGAAATGTGATAATTGCATGTATTTATTTTTCCAAATTGTTGATCTGTCTACCTCACTATGTAGTTTTAATTTGGTGTGTTATTACACTGTACTCCTCCTACAAAAATGTTTTCCCACCCCACAAATTCTTTTATTAGCTTCACAGAAAAGACTAGCGTCATTTCATTTGTCTTCTTTTTAGAAAACCTACTGTGGTGGACCAAAATCCTCTGCCTTCTTTCTACCTTCTATATTACAACATTAACATTAACAACAGCTCTGTGCTATCCAAGCGTCCCAGTAAGTCATGACAGTGAGTGAGCATTCATAATGCCAGGACCCTGAAACTGAAGCATCTAAATAAATAAATAAAGACTGCAGGCGCTACCGATGTCCTGTTGTCACTATGCAGCTAAAGCAGACAATGTTTTTTTTCTCACTGGAATTAACACCACAAGTGACCTTTTCATATAGCATTTATTTGATTCAACATTAATAACAAAAATATTGCTTAGTGAAGCTTTAAGAAAACAGGCAACTGAGTGTGTGACCTTATATAGCAAATAAGCTTAGATATTTATCTCTAATAACTCGACATTTGGGTCAGCATTTCATATTATTCTAACTCTAGCATGCTGCCCTTTTATGTAATGCATGAATTAGTTATGTTTAAGGAGAAGACAATAACTGAAATACAGTTCAGTGAAAACCCATGTGGCCGATAAAACCAGTCTACCAGTGCACAGTGCTTTAACGACAAAGACTAAAAGCCAGGGGCTAAAGCTGAGGAATTCTAAATCCAGGTCCTGTACTTGATGCAGCCCAGTGTGACCAGAGCTCAGGACAGACATATTTATACCTTCGCTTCCTGTCCTCTAGCCAAGCAGCGATCTGAGGTCACTGCACCAGCCGCAGTCCTGTGCAGACATGCAGCCTCAGGTCAGTGAGCAGTAGACGTTCGTCCAGCTCACCCAGGAGACGCACTGACCCGTTTACTACAGCACATGGGAAGGGAATGACTCTTTACATCCCAGCAAACACATACAACACAAACACAGACACATACAGCTGGGCTCTCTTCACAGCTTGCAACAAATGGGAGAAGCAAGCTTGTAATTGGATAGGTGAGAGGGCACGCTTGTGTTGTGCAAGTGTTTAGTGTGCAGGGTGTGTTAGTCTTCTGGATGTGTTTTGGCTAAATTGGTTTGTGGTTCCCGGCACCTCACTAATAAGCACAGGGTAAAATCGATTACCAAAAATAGATCATCCATAGTACAACAAGCAGTAGTATAAGAATGTCTTGTACTTTAAACCCAATACAAGATACTCAGAGGGAAATGAGCTATATCATCTCTACATTACATTAACTCATTTAGCTGACGCTTTTTATCCAAAGCGATTTACAATTACTGGATATGTCAGAGGTCAGACACCTCTGGAACAACTAGGGGTTAAGCGTCTTGCTCAGCGACACATTGGTGGATGTGTCACAGTAGGAAGTGAACCCGGGTCTTTCACATCAAAGACATGTGTCTTCTCCACTGTTCCACCGCCACCCGGCACTCTAATCAAAATAATGCAAACTGATAAGCATCCCCGCCCATCCATTCCCCTTCTCTATCAAAAATGAAGGTAGGTATAAAACCTGAGAACTTGTAGAAACAACATGAATGCAAGTAGAAAAAAACATTGCTGTCACGTGGTTATGTTCTTAATTTCGAGCCACTCACACAAACAATACACTGTTGTTGCAAATCTACCCCAGTCATTAAGTCTTTTAGCTGATCTACGCTAAGCTAAGCATCGTCATATCAACTATGTCAATGTTGTTGGCCCCCAAGTGGCCAAAAAGATATAATTATTGGAGGTTGAACTCCTTGGAGCAAACGTGTGAATTTCCCAAAATGATGGTGTATTTCTTTAAATCAGGTCATGTTTTTTTGATACTAGTGGAGTGACATAATTGCATTATTGCTTCTTGTTGCAAAATCACACTCAAGCAGAACACCCAATTATAACTACATCACTTGTAGGAAAACTGGATTTTAAGACCTTACACACAGACACACGCTCTCTGCCACCAGTCTGTCAACTGTCATGTTGTCTTAGCAGCTGCATGGAGTCAGCGCTGCGGGCTCAAAAATCCACCCTGCTTATGCGTTCATCTAATTAATGAGGAGTTAAGGCTGATAGCGGGACTTGGTGCGCAGGGACGTTGATATAGCGTGCCGATTTACCCCCCACCACCGGATATCACGGACATGCCCGCAAGTCATGTTCGCACAGCAGCCCGCCTCCCTGCATGCACCAAAAGGAACCATGAAAGGAGGTCAGAGAACCCACTGAGAAGAGTTTTAACACGATTAACAACTAGGAAATGGATTTTATCTATCCCATATCTAATGAATAAGAAGTGGGCATGATTCTGGATT